CCCCAAAACCCCAAAACCCCAAAACCCCAAAACCCCAAAATAACATATAAATATAGAGAAGTTTTATCATAATTAAATGAATCCAATCTTGAATATTTTTAGTGATTTCTGCCTTTGTGACCTCCAGAAGCAGTTGCAGCAAGTGATGCCTGTTTCTAAGAGGCCCCAATACGAATGCCAGAAACAAGTAAAGACAATTCACACATATGATTTCTCTAAACACCAAGAAAAATTGAAAGCCAAGCTGTTCCCGCTACTAGGAACAGGACTGCCTTTTGTGCATGCAAAGAAGAAAGCTAATGTTTGCAAAACTAAAAGTGTCAGTAAGAGAAGAACCAGGTTTACAGGTGTGACCAAGAACTCTGTGAATTACCAGACCCTGATCGTGATCGGAGGCAAGAAGACCTATGTGGGCAGCTACCCTCTCGAAGTCGATGCGGCGATCACCTTCGACTTCTACTCTCTAATGTTGCACAACGACAAGGCTCCGACCAACTTTTCGTGGAGAGCCGAAGACATCTTAGAAATGCTGGAGAGCTTCAACTGAAACGGAGGAGTGTTCGAGGCTTCTCCTTTCAGAGCCAAAATAAGTTAATTGTTATAACCTCATTCCATAAATCCTTTTCTAAAGTTTGATCCCAAGTTACTCGGGTTGGTGGTTCCTGATTCCTCAAATTTGTTTCTAAATTTTCAAAAATCGTTAATAATGGTTTATGTTTGGGCTAGATTTTGATAGTGAACATAATTTTTGATACCTCTCTATCTTCGATGTATGCAACTGTTAAGCAGGCTGCTAGTAATTTCAGAGAAACCATTACTAATTGTTAGTGCTAAAGATACTTACGCTCATAATTGCCATTTTGACAGAATGGATAGGCTATTGTAAATACCGAGTTATGAGTTGGCTCAGGTCCTGTTAGCATAACTATGAGCTTCATCAAAGCTAAGACCCCATTGAAGAATTACATTGATCACCTTGCTCATATTACCTTGACGAATATTGGGCAAACGTTAGAAGAATATCGAGATATTTATAATCGACTTTTTACTGACAACCAAATTAAGGAAATCTTTCGGAGTTGAGCTGCGAGGTCGCTTCAGTTTACTAAAAGTTGAGCAGATCACTTAAAAGCAAAGTTTTGGGTCTCAAGTATCTCTATAACAACAACGCCATGAGTGAACTTGGAAACTTAATATGGCACTAAGGATTAATGGAGGAGCCATTTTAGGTAAAATTATGCAAGTTTGAGCATCCTGGCTAAAATTTGAGTGCAAATTTCTGCTTATAAAGCAACAAAGCTTCGATTTACACATACATATTGGAGTTAAGCCTCACTGTCAAGGGAGGAGGTTTGATACCACCTCTTAAGAATTGAGCCATGAATCACTATTTATTATTATCCGGGCATTATTATTCCAGTTGACGATAAAGTGGCCCGAGCGAAGTAAGAAGAACACTACAAGAAGTCAATACGATACCTGGTCAATCTCTGATAGTGTCATTAAATCATGAAGCGAGTCTTCATAATCATTTTTATTCTATCCTCTTCTCGTTAAAAATAAATAGTGATTCTTAAGTCTGTCGTTTCTTATGTTCTTATCTTCTAAGTATTATTCCAAATGAATTGATGGAAAAATTTATGCCGAGTCTAAGACTCTATAGGGCTACATATCCACTCGAAAAGTTTTATGAACATTAGTGAAGCATGCTGCCTTCCTCTCAGGCTTCACTATAATTCTCGGTTATGAAATATCTGTTCTCAGATTTCTCTTGCAAGTTATTATGGTTGTATAGTAGCCAGTGTCTTTGAAAAGCAGTGGATCTGTAAAATTTTGTTCTTCAGGCAGTCATTTGGCCAGATTAGGCTAAGCCATTGAGTGCAGCTCTGTTAGTCTGGTTCAGCATCAAAGTGGTTACTCTCTTGCTTCAGTTATCGATTTATAGCTAGTTTTTTGGGGCTGAATATATTGATAATTTACTAATTCATGCAGCTGGTTTCTGGGAAATTAGTAATGAAGAGATGCCCTTGTAGGTCAAGAGATAGGGTTGTGGTATTTGCTGCTTTGAGAAGTGATTTAATCCACTAATTTGATATTTTTTAGAGGATTTTCAAGTGATAATGTTGGTGAATAGTATTTTTGAAAAATTAAGAGAATTAGTTTTACAGTTTAATTGAGATGGGTTATGAGGATTTTTAAGCATATAGTTCTCTATTTTGCTACTGGGGTACTTTTAATAGGTAAATTATGACTTCTCTAACTGGGATATGTTCACCATGGGTTGGGTGGAGAGGATGCCTGAATTTCTTACTGGCAGTTCTACATTTTCGTCATGAATTCTTGGTGTTAGGTTACTTTCGTAAGTCACCATTTTCTTAAGAAATTACTATTTGAAAAATTTTGCAGTTTAGGGAATCATAATTTGTCAACACATTTTAAGAATTTATCAGAGCATAAAATTTTAACTGTGATAGATATTTTCTGCCAATGTCAAGACCAAGAGGGATATCTATTTAAGCCCAATGTCGAGCACGAAGAGCAATTTATCTCCTATGAACTTAGAAGGCGAGACTTTCAACTTGGCATACAAAGGAGCTCTTTGGGGATAGCAAACCATTAAGGACTCGTTGAGAAGATTTCCCAAAAAATTCAGCCATATTCTTGCTAACTTTTAGGTTGCTCGGCGATGAAATTTTGGTCAGGAATCTGGAGAACTTGGTCACCGATTATTTCTTAAACCCTTCTAGATATTTGGTCGGATCTTTGGCAGCCTGATAATTATTGCAAAGCTTCAGAGAATAGCTAGTATGCCTTGATCGTTCTTTCTAGCGATTTGTTTGTTTATTCTTGGCTATCTGGGTTAGTTCACTAGGCTAATTTCAGGTGAAAATTTGTTCATGAATCAAAATTTAATCAACTTCTTTTTGGAAAGGAAACTCAGTGAGTATTATATACCAAGTTCGTGTCATAATAGGCCTAGAGAAGTGAGGCTTCTCATATAATTGGGCCATATCCAGGCTTATTCCTTCTTGCTGCAAGCGGGAAGAACAAGTCTCTTGATAGGGTAATTCACCAGCGCAAAACTAAATTCTTGAGTGAAAAATAGTGATTCATGGATTGAATATAATATTCATGATTTCTGGTAGTCTGAGTTATTCCAAAATCTCAGGCTGCTGAACTTAGCTCTTCAGCAAAAACAAATTTAGGATTTTAGATATTATTGTAATCGTGATTGTAACTATAATAACTCTAAGTTCAAGAAAATATAGATAAAGTATTATTTTTCGGTAAGTTTCAGGCAGATCTCGGTGACTCATTCTGCTCAGGACAAGCCACCACTAAACCTGTCAAGGAGAATAGCCTGGATAGCCATACTTCTGGCTGAGAAGTAATCAATGACGAGAAATAAATCAGTTAGTGTTCTTAATAGTTCCAGTACTTTTTGGGCGAAGCTTAGAAAAATGTTCAAAAGGAGACATCTCATGAATACTTCAAGAAGTATCAGAGCGGCTATTCCTTTAGTTTATGTTCATGTGTTAGACCTTGTGCTATCCTAATGGAGCCTCAGAGAGCATCTAGTGAACTCAAATGACACCGCTTCGATGACTGTGTTTAAGTAGTGTGCATCCTACATCCCTGAAGTTTGTGAGATAGGGTGCGATTCATGGAAATATATGATAGCGAATTCCTGGAAGGAATTTATCATAATTTTAGATTCATCTATTTGAATCATTATTTCCTTAACAAATGCAGGAGCTTTAGGCATGATCTCTAAAGTCCTAGAGCTGCAAAAGTTGCCAAAATGCTTATTGATTGCGAAGCCTGAGATCGTTTCAGCAAAAATCTTATAAAATTTGAGTAGATTTTAGAGCCGAATATGGGGTCTTCAGAGGTTCGAATTATTACTTTTATGCAGTTTTATATCATTCCATCCTTGGCTAGGACTTTTGTGTAATTATTTTTGTCAGTTCGTTGCAGTAGCAGCAACAACAAGGCTCGAATTGATGAGTATCATAATAATGTTTAATAAAAAACAAATTTGAAAAATTAAGTTATCCCTTGACTAGAATCTGAAATCTTCATGCGTTTTGTATGATAATTTTCTTTGAACTAGTGAATGCATCTGTGTTTGCAAGCGAAGAACCCTCATTTTATTCCATCCTGATTAGACACTTTTGTTCATGGCTAAGAATACTTGATAACGTTGCCTAATGATGTGCAATTTTACCAATTGAATAATAACTACTTGACTTAAACTAGAAAATTTTGAGCATTTTCTTTGGTTAAGAAAAACTGCTACTAATCTGCATTATCGTAATCAGCCTTCAGTGTCGTCTATAAGGCCTTCAGTTCAATTAGTATGCATAATTTAGAGTGTAATAGATGAGTGTGCTCAAAATCCCTTAGGTTAGTCAACTCAGGTGTTCTTTTCCCAAAAAACTACCCAAAGCTTCCCTTCTTAGACCTCTCAGCTAGAGCGGTGTGTAACTTCGTTGCTAACACTTTCATCTAAAGTTCCAGCTTCTTTCAGCCATCTCTGGGCAAGTCTGGCTGACTGGAGTGATCCTAATTGTGGGAGCCCGGTTCCTGAGCTCCTCTGTGTCCCTACCCTCACTTTCTAGAGCCAGACCAAACTGAACTCTTCTGTCACGATTTCTTGTATTAAAATAAGAGCTTTAGGGACTCTGAGAGGTAACATAGACGTCTCCTGGGTTTTAAATTTTGAGGCTGAATGAAGCAGATATGAGGCAACCATAGATATTAGCAGAGATATTTTAGGCCAGTTAGATTGTTCCATTGGGCAAGTCTTGTGAGCGGAGCTGTGACGTTTCTCAGACAACCGCAGATTATATCATGTAGATGCCATTTTAAGGAAGCATTAGTGTATATAAGGGTAATATGATTCAGAAGCAGCAATGATTGTGGATAATAAAATTTGAATAGCTCAAGATTTTGACAGAGAAGGAGCTTTCAGCTTAATAATTCCTTCTATAATGTGTTTATTGGAAGTAAATTTGTACATATTTTAAGTGTAGGTAATCTAGACGATATCAGAATGCACAATTAAAGTATAAATAGGTTAGAAATCCACGATCGAACAGGAGCAATTGTTAGGGTAGTATAAAATGCAAGAAAATGTTATCTCTACCGGTAAAAGTAAACAGTCCTAGCCAGTTAAAAAGGCACAGAAAGCTTGCTCTGAGGATACAGTTTCTACACGAGAGTAACCCCCTTCCTAAGATTAGGTTGACCATTTCCTAAAATTTCAATTTGAAACTTCATGAATGGGGTTTTGGGGTTTTGGGGTTTTGGGG